TGCTGTTCTTGTCTCTCGGGGCCCCAGTGCCTGCAAGTGTGTGCGGGGAATAGGCTCTCAGTCAGAAGCGTCTGGCAGAGGCACACAGTGAAGAGTGAGTGAGGGCTCGGCAAGGGGGAATGGGGAGTCCCGGCTGAGTGTGGGAGAAGAGACACTCCTGCACCACCCCAGCATGCCCAGGGCTGTAGAGGTGCCTGAGGACACCCCAGAGCATGGTGTAACCAAAAACAGCTGAACCCCTGCCTGTCCTTAGCGCTCCCCTCGGCTCCCATCCCACCCCACTGATATACACGCACAAAGGAAAGTCCCCTTACCACTCCCAGCCCCACCGAGACTAAAGCAAAAGAAAAAATTAACCACTCAACAATGTTTTCGGATTCTTAACACTCTCTCAGTGTCTGATCCTGGGTGGACAAGGAAGCCCCACCACAAACCCAGTGCCACCTGGAGCTTCCAGATACCCCGTCCCATGCTGTGTCATTGCCACACCCATGTACACACCACATATGAAAATCTCATGATGGTCCCAATCTTTACCAATCAAGGAGCTCCAGAAAGTCCATTTATCCAAGGCCATTCATCTGATAGGAGCTGGTCTGAAATTCTAGAAAAGAAAGCCCTCTCCCCTACCTGCCAGAGTTGAATAGGCCACTGGTCCCCCATCTGAGGGCGTCTCAGTCACCTACCTCCTCTGTGACCACCCAGGTCCCACACCTGAGGCCAGGAGGCCCTGACCAAAGGGGCAGCCCAAAGTCTCCCACATGGTAGCTGAGGCAGCGGTAAGGACAAGCAGGGGCTCAGCAGAGAATCTGTTCATCTGCAGGAAGGGAGGGACAGGGTGGCTCTGCTCTGCTCAGAAGTCAGTGTCTTAGGCACCCACTGCAGGCCTCCATGCAGACCCTTTTGAAGATGTTGAAGGAGGTGGATTCTCCCAGCTGCCATTCCGGAGGACTCCCACTCCTCCTTCTCCATTGACAGGAGGGCCTGTTGACTGTCTGGGAATCAGCTTTCCTCCATGATCAAGCAGCCGGCTGCCTCCTGTTTTCTATCCTATGGAAGCCACCTTTTCTGTGGAGCCCTGTCAAAGGCGTTTCAAAGTCTAGAGCAGAACCACCAGGCCCCCTCCAGCTACAAGATGGTGTTTGTCACTTCCAAACATGCCTTCTCCTTGCAGACAACAAGGTGACCTCTTTGCAGGTGACTTTAGTACATGTTCGGGGCTTCCATCCTTTGCTTAGTAAGGGGGTCAGAGTAATTTAACAAAACAGTGGTGCTAATGATAAAATAATAGCACCAAGCGCCCAGCTCTGTGCTAATAATCTCTTTTAAGGGAGTCAATCTCACTTAATTTGACAAATGAGCCCTTATTAGCAGATACAGAAACTGAAGCTGAATTCCTAAGGAACCTGCCAGGGTGACACAGCTAGGAAGTGGCTATCCAGGGATTAGAACCCCAGGCAGGCTGCCCCCAAGCCACACGCTTCCCCGCCACTCTAGGCTGTGTCCTGTCTGTGTCCTACAAACCTGGGAAGAAGGCACCTGTGCAACCAACCATGTTTGTCTGAGACGAGGTCCCTGCCCTCGTGGAGCACATGAGCCAGAATCAGTTCCAGGTGCACCTTTTTCACTTCCCCTCATTCAGAAAATTGCACACAGAATAACAAACAGTAAGAGAGCTCTATCAGTGGTCATCAGAAAGCTTTCAGATAAGCAAAAATGGAACAAATGCTAAGCACCAAAGTTTCTCTGTGTTCAGTACACTACATATTCTCCCTCTACTGGCTGCATCCTGGAATCTGGGAAGTGCCAGATCACTCTACATTCCAAATTATTTCCCCATCCATGTAACTAGTTGAAAGGGTTAAACACAGACCCGCTGAGCTCATTATTTTAATCCAGGATTATGATGGCTGCAGAAGAAGGCCACTCTGTCCCCTTGACCTCCTTGGCTAGGAGAGCAATGGTGGTTCTCCTGCCCCGCCTGGCTGGGGGAAGAGCAAAGCCACAGCTAAGCCTGTCCCTCCACCAGGAAACTGGTCAAGAAAGGAGTGCCATAGTGGAGGGGACCATACGCTGCCCTTTGTGCTTGTGAAGCAGTTGAGGACACAGGTGGCTGGAGGGGCTGGGGAAGGGCCAGTATACACTAGTGGAACGCCAGCTTTCCCAAACAATGAGCTCTTTGTAGGCTTTGCCACTCCGTGACAGCCAAACATCTGTGGTGGGAACTCCCCCCAGCAGGGACCTCGAAATCTCATACCCCACCTTATGTCATGTCAGACAATGTGGCCAAAGATCCGGGGTCGCAGGGTAGCACTGTGAGTCCTCTCCCCTCTCCAGCCCCCGCTGCTTGCAGATGGGGAAACTGAGGCCCAGGGAGGAAAAGCACTCAGCCACTTTATTCATATGTTCCATCCTCTGAGCTAATGAGCTTCAGAAACACAGGCTTTCAAGAGAGTGGCAAAAAGCTGTCTATTCTTAGGTAGAAATTGCCTTTGCCTGGCCGTGCAATGACCACCCCAACCCTTCTAGGAATTTTCGAGAGCAACTGTGGGAACTGGGGTTGTGGCTGAGTCCGTGATGGGAAGGGGCTAGCCCTAGGGCTTCGTGCCCTCAGCAGAGGCCAGCGTGGGATTAGACCGGGAAGTCTTCCTCAGATGAGAGAGTCTGAACCTGTCTGCTTGGAGGGCTTGGGTGGGCCTCGGGTGGACCAGTGTGGTGTGGGATGGGAGGTGGGCAGTGAGACTAGGCAGACTCAGCACCCACCCCCGTGCCTGCTTGCTCCCTGCCCTGGAGAAAGACGACCTTCCCTCCACGTGGCTGGCCAGGCCCGCGTTTCCTCAGGGTGCACACTGACCTTGGCTGCAGTCTGTGAAGGTGACTGCCACTCCTCCCTGCTCAGTGTGGTACTGCATGGATGCCTCCAGGCGCCTAAAAAGCCGTGCTTTTCTAATCTGTGGAGAACCAGCTTTGTCTGCCAGGAACTGAAGCAAGACAGCTGATGAGGGGAAAAAAAAAAAAAAAAAAAAAAGTAACAGCTCCAAGAGGAGGGAGCAGAAAGGAAACAGCAAAGCTGGAAAATGGCTTAAAAACCTGGGGGCAAGGCTGATCCTGGCAGCATCTGGCCAGCTGCCTGGGGGCCCTCCTGCCTGCCCACCAGGTCTTGAGACAAATACCCTCCGACAGCCGTGGAACCACAGCTGTCACCGGAAGGCTCCGAGTGTTCGGGCTGGCGGCCAGAGGCCCACGGCTGCAGGGGCGCCTCTCCGGGCTGGTAACCTCATTATCTCTGCTGTCAGAGCAGGAGCCCCAGGGAGCACAGCTGCTCTCGGCCGCCTTGGAGGAGCTGTCTGCTCCGTAAGCTGTGCAGAGGGAGGCCTCTCCTGCCAAAGAAGGCTTCATGGGGCAGCGGGCCTGGAAATTCGCTTTCACATCTCTCCAGTAAAGCCCTCCTTGTTCCAAAGCCATGCCTGGGCCCTGCCAGGGTTCACAGGCACAGATGGTGCCTTTCTTCTAGCAGTCTCCTCCTGCTCCCCAGTGGTCCCAGAGCAGGGTTGGATGCAAATGGGGAGAAGAAAAAGAGACTGAAACAAGAAAAGAAATCATAGTCCGCCCAGAGTTTGTCCAAGGACGTCCCAGGAAGCCTTCCTTGGAGGACTCAGGGCTGTGCCATTCCCACTCTCACTCTGTCACCCAGGAAACTGCCTGGTTCCTTCCCCCGCTCAGGACCAGGCCCCCTTTTCCACGTGGAATACAGGGTAGGGTGGGAGGCTGCAGTTCTGAGATTAAGACTGTGTTGAGTCTTTACCTGCTGGAGCCCTGTGTACTCGCACTGTTGGGGACAGCCCAGCATATGTGACGGCAAGGACGGGCAGCCAGTGGGGATGATGGAGTTACCCCAAAGAGCGTGTCTGCCCCCAGCCACAAACATCTTCTGCCTGCCCTGGGACCCAAGGCGAGAGAGGACAGCGGGTACAGAACGGTGCTGAAGGCAGTGGGGCTGGCTGTCGTGTGCTCTGCTCGGCTTGCAATTGACGTTCAACCTTGAACAATGTGCCAGCATTCCTGTCTGCTCTGGACACCCTCATCTGTCACGTGGAGAGAACACCTGCCCTCGGCCAGCCTGGCTGGGGAGAGCAAGCTCCGTGGAGAACAACGGCTTGTCAGTGGGAGATTGCGGCCTGCTGTTATAGCTGTAACCCAGCGCGGGCTGCGTGTCACCAGCTGAGAGACAGCTTTGAAAAAGGACTGCTGTCATTTTCTGCAACTCTGGACTGGCCAGGGAGGCAGCACATCTGGTAGGGGGTGGGGGCTGGTGGAGGACCCTTATTATTATGAAAATGGAGCCATTTGCTGACTTGGTTTGGGTCCAGCTTCATTTCCCTCAGCCCTGAGCCCGCGAGCCCTGAGCTGGTGCCTGATGGTTGTGGATTGGGACTAAGGCTAGAAACCACCAGGATTTATAAAAATGCCATTCCCCCAAAGGACCCAATCTATGCTGGACAGAGCCCTGATTCTTTGTGTCTGCAGTGGGCGCTAGTGTGGTGCTGTGTGTGTGGGTGCAGAGAGACAGAAGGAGAGAGAGGTGATGCGTGGAGAGACCATCTGTCTGGGCACGGGCCCAGCCCAACAACCCTAGGCCCTTTCTCCCGCCTCCTCCCAGATAGCTCCTGCTGCCTGCCTGGGGAAGGAACAAACAATAGAATAATCTGGAGACTCTCCTTTCTAGATCCTCTTGAGGTCTCTGTCTCCAGTCCCTGAGCAGATGTCCAAGGCCGGGCCAGCAGCCCAGCCCCCATCCAGAGCCACGAAGGGCCATTTCCCAGCCCCAGGCTGCAGGACCCCAGGCTGGGTTCCCTATGCGTGGGAGCTAGAGGAGGAAGGCTGCACATGCAGGGCTTTTTCTGGCAGGGCCAGTGCTTGACACTGCTAAAGCCCTCCTAATCCGCGTTATTTTCTTCTAATCCCTCCCCCACCACCCTGGCCTGTGTGCCACCCTACAGGTCCTTTGGTCCCAAGCCGGAGCCTGTGCTGAGCCCCAGGCATGAGGAAGCCACGCATCTGCTGCAGAGTGCCCGCATGAAGGCCAGGACCCGGCCCCTTCGTGCCAGCCATGACATTGTGCCCACCATTGCCCAGGGCAGCCGGTGAGTGGGACCTGGGCCAGGCTGGCCTGGGAGGGCCGTAGCAGAGAAGGGTCAGCATTGGGAAGAAATGGGATCTAGCCAAATGCTGCTGCTCACTCCTCGTGTGTGTGTGTGTGTGTGTGTGTTTTCCATATAAGGCTCTTGCTTTGATCATTTAGTCACACAACTTTCCTGAGGGCCTACAGTCAGGTACTGATATATAAAGATGAATTAAACATGATCTGGATCCCTGAGGGGATATAGGTCACAGTCTCCAGGGAGAAAGGCAAACAGATACTCAATTCCGTGGACTGTGTTGTAAGAGAGGAAAAGTGTGTGTACTGAGCTGGAAACTGTTAACTCCACCTGGAAAAGATAGGTGAGGCTCCTGAGAGGAGGTGACTTCTCAGCTGAAACTTGAAGGAAATGTAGATATGCACTGGGTAGATGAGAGAGGCAAGGGTGAGCATCCTGGGGACAGAAACTGAGCAGAAGCACTGTGCTCAGGAGTTCAGCCAGGCTAGAGGGTAAGGGTGTGCTGAGCCACATGGCGTGAAGGCTGGAGGGCTCAGTAGGGCCAGGTCATGGAGGCCTCCAGGCCTGCAGAACACTTAGACAGCTGGATGTCTGCTGCAATATCTGGGAGCTGCGGAAGGACCCTGGACACGTGGGCAGCATGATCGCACTTCAGTGATGCCATTCTAGCTGCAGAGATGTGCTGGGTCTGGGAGACAGGTGTGGTGAGGAAGACGTTGCTGTGTCCCCGCTGACCGGTACAGAAGAGGAGGGTGTGGAGATGTCACAGAGACCCCAAGCACCAGAAGCAAACAGGCTTAGTGAGGCAACAGAGGAGTGCCACACCTAGAGCCAGACCACACGGGCTTGACTTCTGGTTCTGGCACTCAGCTGGGTGCCTCTGCGGAAGTCTCTGTGCCTCAGTTTCCTCACCCACAAAATGAGAATTGTAATAGTGCCTGTCTTGCAGGGTTGCTGTCGGGCAATGTGAGCTAATACGCATAAAGTTTAGAACAGCACCCGCCACGCAGTGAGTGCTGCAGGACTGTAAGCTCTAACTACTCCTCGTTTCGTTGCAGGGGTGTGGAAAGTGTGAGAAGGGAGGCATCTGAAATGCCCCCAGGGTTCCAACTTGGTGTCTGTGTTTGGTGGGGCCTCAGCCAAGGGGTCAGTGCAGGGTCAGGCGTTGGAGGGGGAGGTGCTCTCAGAACATCCACTGGCAATCCCCCCAGGCAGTTGGATACAGGATCTTTAGAGAAGGAGAGATCCGAACTGAAGATCTGGACATCATCCCTGATTTCACACCCACGGTGAGGGAGAGCTTGTCAGGAATGAAGTAAGAAAACAACGAGGTCAAGGATGTTCAGACCAGCACATCACATACACGACTGCCCCCTGAGCAACACGCTCCATCCCCACCTCCCTGCCTGTTCTGCCTGTGGTGTACCTTAAAGAACCACTTACACATGGCCTTCACCACCACGCAGAGCCATCTTCCAGTCATGCGCCTGGGCCTGAGATGAGGCTGCTAGGCTACGCCAGGTCTCCCCAGGCCCAGACAGGCCCCCTTCTGTAGCTAGCAAAGCCTGCGGCTTCACTGACATGGTGGACATGCTGCATCTGCCTGTCTGAATCACCACGTGGCACAGGAGGGAGCAGGGCTTCTGAGGGAGTGGGGATATTGGTGGAACTGGACCAAGATCCAGTTCCTCTGATGCTCTTTGATGGAGGGTGCCGAACTGCTCATTAAAGGCTAAGGAGCTTCATGGAGCCATTGAGATGACTCCTTCATGAACGGAGGTCATTGTGACCCTTAGGAGAGGGGCCCAGAGGACCCTAAATCCTGGCAAGGGGTGCCAAACAGACTACCTTTGCATTTCCACATTTTGTGCTTTGCCTCTCTCTCTAGATGGAGGGCACTCATTAGGAATGGACATGCTGCTTCGGGGCATCCTAACTATTCTTCACATTTATATACAGTGAGAAACCTTAGACTTCCAAGCAACTGTCCTGTCCTACTTTGTGTAGGCATTTAGGTTAGGTCGGGTAGCCTCAAAATAGTCAAGACTATCTGCAAAACAGTCTGCATTGTGTAAAGGTCCTCTTGGACACTTCTTCCTCAGATCACTCCAGCAGCTCACAATAACCCCAATCGCTAACTTTAAAGCAGGCTCCCTTTTGCAGGCTGTCTGCAGGCCATAGAAATGCTATAGAAATGCAAGGTGACCCACTTTAGCAGCTGCTATGTCCAGAAAAGAATTACTATGACTTGGCAGCGCTGGTGAATCCTCAGAGGGTCTAGCTGAAAAATCAACGCCAGATGGCTTGCTGCAGATGCTTCTAAAGGTTACGCTCCATCAAATCACCCTGGAGGGCCATGCTGAGTTAACACGGCAATGGCACACAGGTCCCAGGCCTCAGTTAGACGCAGGAGGCCCCAGCCCTGGCCCAGATGCATCACTTCTAAAGAGCGACTTGGTGAAAGGTGATGGAAGAGAAGGGGCAGGCAGAGCAGTCTCAGAGGGCCTTGTTTATCCTAGGTCTGGCTAGAGGCAGCTGGGGCAAGCCTGAACAGACAGGGATTCCAGGAGGTGAAGAGGTAGCAGCAGCTGCACTTTTCTGGAAACAAATTAATACAGAAATGGAGCCGCTCCTGGAAGCACAAGATCTTGCCGTTTTGAGGCTAGACACGCCTAGATTGGTGTTTCTGAAGGCGGGAGGGCAGGACATGTTGGCAAGAGGCAGTGGTAGGGTGACACTGTAAGTGTTACTGTCCCACGTCAGAGAGAGTGGCTGTGCCGAGACTGCAGAGCGTGTGTACATCACATTGAGTGTGTGGTTAGGGCAGCAATGCTATGGAAAGTGGGACTCTGAAAAGGGGTCCCCGTGAAGCCATATGTGTCCAGGACTGTGGTGGGATCCCCCACTAGCGGGGTGACTGCTGGGGCCTCTGCAGAGCCTCCCCTTGAGAACTTGGGGGGCGTGGGATTTGCTGACTGCTCAGCTACCTCATTCGCCCTGCACTTGTCTTCAAAATCCTCATCCTGCCTTTACACGCTGTTGCTGACACTGCCGGTGGGGCTTCTGGGTTGGAATAATTGGGTTGAAAGCACCTGATGTGATTAAGCACTCCCGAATTTCTCTTTTTGGAACAACAATGTCTGCCTCTGCAGTGAATTCCAGGATGGCTCAATTCACCATCTGATGTGTGAAAGTTAAGGCCACCAATGTGGCTCATGGGACCTGGGATCCCTTGTTAGCTAAGGACTGCACTGCCTTTAAAGCTAGGCTTCTTTCCTCCCTAGAAATCACAGCCCACGTCCTGCAGCTACGGTACTACCTTTGGGGCCTGTGGAGGGGTTGCTGTGTGAAGCTGTGTGCAGACTCTCTCCCTGTGGGCCTTTGCCTGCATCGGCTGGGCTGGGCTGGGCTGGGCTGGGCTGGGAAGATGCCCTGTCTGTGCAGTGGGGTAAAGCATCTGCTCAGCAGGAAATCCCCTGTGTCTGGGGGGTGAGTGATGCTGTTTATCTGGATGGAGCCTTCCTTTTGGGGGCTATGATATCTCAAAGCAGGCAGATCCACTTGCTTAGCAGTTCTTTTTTTTTTTTTTTTTTTTTTTTTTTTTGAGACAGAGTCTCGCTCTGTTGCCCAGGCTGGAGTGCAGTGGTGAGATCTCGGCTCCCTGCAACCTCCACCTCCTGGGTTCAAGCTATTCTCATGCCTCAGCCTCCCAAGGAGCTGGGACTACGGGCACGCATCACCACGCTGGGCTAATTTTTTCTGTTTTAGTGGAGACGGGGTTTCATGGCATTGCCCAGGCTGGTCTTCAACTCCTGAGCTCAGACCATCTGCCCACCTCGGCCTTCAAAGTGCTAGGATCACAGGCATGAGCCACCATGCCTTGCCAGCAGGAGTTCTTTTGTAAAAAAATTTCACCCTGGAGCAGTGCTTATGGGGGGAAATGACTGAAGTCAGAGGTAGAAGCAGGTGTGGAACCCCCATTGCCCATTGCCTTTTGCATTCCCCTGAGCATTCAGCATCTAATAGATAGAAGTCAAATGCGGGTAGGCTAAGAAGAAAGATCCAGGAAATGAGGCAGGAGGGTTGCATGAAGTCAGGGAAGGAGACCTGGAGGCCTGAAGGCCTGGGAGTGTAAGAGGAAGCAGGAAGGAATGTGCGGGGCCTGCATTTTCCCTCCAAAGTGTCTGCACTTGACCCTGTGCCCTCTTCTGGGTTAGTGTGATAAAGGCTATGCTGCAGTTGGACCTACAGACAGGAGGCAGTGGAGAGGCTGGATAAGAGGCAACTGCAGGGGTCCTGTGACGGTGAAAAAGTGGTACATGAAAGAGACAAGAAACTGAATCCCAGCAGTTAGCAGTGGATTGGTGGGGAGGCCACTGCTGGGAAAAGGAAGGGGGAACCATGGGAACTATGGTCCGTAATGGATGCTCTCTGATAGAAAACGGCCCATGAGCCTGGGTCCATTTGCATAGTGGCCTGAAACTCAGGTTACCTGGCTCCAGGGGGCCCTGGGGTGAGATGTGTGCAGGCGTCGTCTGGAACAGAATGGGACTTGACCACCTGCCACAGTGTCTCCCAGAACCGAACTGGATGACAGATGGGCAGAGTCTCCGCAGCATAGCAGTGCCATCCCCAGTAACAGCAGGATGAGACTGTGTGTGAGGGCTGGGGAGGGACAGGTATGAAGTGGGGGTTGGAACAGTCAAGATTCAGGTGCCAAGGAGAAATGTTACTGTTGCCTTGTCTGAATTTTGCCTAAGCAAAGTGATGTGGAACCCTGAGCGGAAACTTCCAGAGCAAGAGCTTAGAAACCCTGACTTCAGGCCGGGCTCAGTGGTCCACACCTGTAATCCCAGAACTTTGAGAGGCTGGGTGAGAGGATCACTTGCACCCAGCAGTTTGAGACCAGCCTGGCCAACATAGTGAGACCTGTATAAAAAAACAACCAAAATAAACCAGATATAGTGATGCACACTTGTGGTCTCAGCTACTTGAGAAGCTGAGGTGGGAGGATCACTTGAGCTCCAGAGATTGAGGCTGTAGTGAGCCGAGATGGTGCCACTGCGCTCCAGCCTGGGCATCACAGCAAGATCCTGCCACTAAGAAAAAAAAAGAATCCCTGACTTCAATTCTCACACAGCCTCTGGAGACTTAAAATGTCCTGTTTCCGTGAGAGCATCATAGCAAATACATGTTTCCACAATCACTACCAAAAATACATGGTGGTCAGGCTCACTTCCTCTCCCTAACAGACACATACACACCGACAGCCCCCCCCCCCCACAGCACACACGCGCGCGCGCGCGCGCACACACACACACACACACACGAGGACTGTGGCATCTTCCCATCCAATAGTGTTTCATCTTAACTCAGGCTGAGTCATGAAACAGAGGGAAAGCCAAAAGCAGGGAAGGTGGCCTTGGTTCTGTTTAGTGCTGTCTCAGGATCAGGATCGGCTTTGCAAGCTACTCTGGTTTGCGGAGACTCCCCAGAAACCCGCTGCGGAGTAACCCTGTGGGTTGCAGTTGCCATTGAGGCCGGTGGGAGACTTAGCCCAGCGTGGAGCGGGTAGGGCCTATGCTGCCTCCCCACGTTTCTGCACTTGACCTCTCTCCTTCCTGTCTCTTCATCAGAGATGGCCACAGAAGCCCAGCCCGGGACCCCAGGATGACCCTTGCCTGCAGAGACAGCCTACAGAACGGGCACACGAGCGACTCCTCCAGTGGAGAGTCCAGCGGTGGGCCGGGGCCGAGGCCGAGGCGGGGCCCCTCGCCGTCGCACGTGCGCTTTGAGGATGAGTCCGCCCGCGAAGCCGAGTGCCGCTACCTGGAGCGGCTGCAGCAGCGCCAGCGCCGGGTGCTGAGCACTGTGCTGCAGGCGGCGGACCAGGGCCCCCTGCGCTCCAAGCCCGACCTCGCTGACTACATCAACGGGGCCCCCCGGCTCCGGGACTCGGGGCAGGGGGCATTCCACCGGCTTGTGAGCAGCCTGGACCGCAGGGGCCCCCCGGCGGCGCCCGCACTGGGCAGCGAGAGGAGGTGCCAGGCCTGCGGCAGCTGTATAAACAACCCGTGGCCCACCCAGGGGAAGGCGCCCCCAAACCTCAGCGCCCTCCAGGAGCCCCAGTCTGCCCATGGGATGGAGGGGTTGCTGGGTGGTCTGAGCTCCCCACTCCGGCTCCTTCCTGCAGAGGCCGGGCTCCACACAGAATGGATCCGGGAAACGCACATCGGAGACACCGTGTACCCTGCAGACGTGCACTCTGCCCTGGACAGCACGACCACCTCGAACAGCTGCAGGACCGACAGTGAAGAGGCGGGGACCTCTCAGGCCGGCGAGGCGTGTGGGCGGACCCGAGGTAGCAGCCCGAGACTGCGGCTGCGGGGCTCCAGGCCTCGAGGACACAGGTGGCCCAAGGCGGCTGACAAGGAGCTGCCTTGGGGCCTCCAGGCCCGGCAACACCTGCCTGGGGCTGATGATGTGGAGCTGGGAAATGAGGTGAAGGAAGATAGAGGACACGCGGCTGGGGGGACTCTACTTTTGAGAGAAGATGCTGTCCCTAAGCCTCCCGGCCTGGAGTTGAAGCGGGCGTCCCTGGGACCCCAGTGGCAGCCTGGACCAGGGCTGGGAAGTCACCCGTCTCACTCTTTGGATTCTCGGACTCCATGCAGGACAGCCTATGCGACCACCTCCCCCATGACGCCCGAATCATCGGGGCGGGGCGGCCAGGCCCAGGTTACAGGAAGCCACGTGTCCCTGGAGGTTGTCTCTCCTTCCTCCCTGCAACAGAGCCCTGTAGAGCCTTCTGCCCCGCACCAAGCCCAGCAGCCAACAGCTTCCTTTTGCCCTGAAGGCTGGGCGCCAACCCCTCCCCCTTCAAGGAAAACCACCTCGCCCACATCTCACAGGAAGGCAGCCCTGGCTGGATTGCGCAGGCTGAGTGACCAGGGAGAGCCTGTGGGTATCCCCCAGCCTCCTTCAACAAGTGCAGTTCTCAGGACCTGTGAGCTGTCCCCATCACAGACCCAGCCCAGCTGCCCTCAGGTCAGGCACCCACTGCTGGCCCTGTCCACCAACAACTGCAACAACAGCGCACCTCGGGGGCCGCAGGAGCCCTATGGGGGAGCCATCCACGAGGGTAGGGTGGAGAGGGGCCCCCGCAGCCGGGAGCCGGAGCCACCCCTGGAGAACAGCAGAGATGGTAAGGGGCTGCCGCTGGTTCCTGCCCAGCCCAGGCCTGGTGTGGTTCTAGAGCAGAGGCTCAGACCCGACCTGTGACGCCCAGGCCTTCAGAGTCATTCCCTTCTATCTCAATAGTCAGATGGCAGTGTCACACTAACTACCCCAGCAGCCGCTCTGAAGTGTCAGGGTGCTGGTGGTGGCTGGATATGGAGAATTCACCACCAGCCTGGAGGCCGACTAAGCAACTCCCTCCCGGGAGAGGCCGAACCACGGGGAAGGCAGTGAAGACTTCCTCTTCCTGCTGAGAACCCCGAGGTGTGGGCAGAAGCTCCAAGCTCCGTGGCTGCTGGAGGCCTGGGCTTTAAGGGATTTATTCCCAACAGAGCAGGAAGAGGGAGCAGCTCCAGGATTTACTATCTGCTTAGAGCAGTAGGTGCCCACTAATGACATGGCAGAGGCCCTGCCCCTTCAGCATCATTGTTACATTTAATTAATTCACTCATTCATTCCTTCAGTATTGGCTGAGCACCTATGTGCCAGGCACCGTACTAGGCACTGTGGCGGATGCATATGTGAATACATCAGCAGGAGTCCTGCCCTTGAGGCATTCTGTGGCTAGGCAGACACACTGTCCAGAGGACCTGGTGACCAGGGAAACAGGGCTCCTAGGCGGTGTGCTCTCTGGTACCAGACCCTCCCTGACCCCTGGGCCTGTTGACAGGCCAGTAGGTTTCAGCAGGCAAGGCCGCTGAAGGGTGTGGGTCTCACCACTTTGCCTTGGCAGGGGTCCTCACACTGTGGGAGAATCCCATAGCTTGGCAGCTCAGGCCTTATCCTCAGTGTTGTGATCCCAGGTGACCAACTCTGCCGATCACTTTTAGGCAGAGAAAACAGGCGCACTCCACACATTTTTGCTTTAATATGCCCATGGCTCTGACAGTCCTGGGGCTGGGATGGCTCAAGAGGGATCCAGGGCTTGGCAACAGAGTGGAGATGACAGACCTTATTGAAGATGTGGATGCAAAGTCCCCTCCACTGCACAGGGACAAACAGACTCGGTCCCTCTCCCTCCCTTGCTTACACAAACTGGCCTGTTTCTGGGCTCCCTTCCTCCCTGTGCTGAGTGGCAGGTTCCTTCTCTGGTGGGCTCTAGGCAGGCCATGGGCTTTCCCTGAACCACTTCCTGCAGGGCTTCCTTTCTGAGACCTGCTGACCTCTCTGGGCAGCCTGGGCCTTCACCTCAGAGCTTGGAGCAGAGCGAGTGAGGCCCTGGGTGAGTCCCTCAATCCCTCAGCCTGCCAGCTTCCTCCTCGGTAAAGTGAGGACAATGACGAGCTCACCCCTGTGAGCTCACCCCTGGAGAGGATTCCATTCTTTGCCTAGCACATAAAAGATCTCCAGAAATGATGGCTACTTTAAAGCTCTTAGAAATCATAACTGACAAGATTGTGGGGTTTGTCCCAGGAATACAAAAATGTCCCCTGTTCCCACTGTGTCCCTTAATATGTGGAAGGGGCATAGCTTATCAGAGTCAACCCTTTCATTTAACACACAGTGACTATTTACTGTGGACCAGATGCTGCGCCGGGTGACGAGGTTACCCCAGTCAACAAGACTCAGTCCCTGTCCTTGAATAGTTTCCAGCCTAGAGGATGCTCATGAGGGGTCCTCAGCCCTGGTCATCTAAGAGGCCACCCCACCTTCCCTCACTGCTTCCCAGGTCTCTCCACTGCTCTGGGACTCTGCCTCTTCAGCTCCTCACACCCTCCCCCTGTCGTTGGAAATGTCCCTTTCCCCAACAGGACCTGTGGGATGAGCCAGCCTGACTCAGGTGGGATGCTGTGCTTGTTTCAGGAGGATCCCAGGGCTTTCCCGGCTCAGCAGATGTTGACACCATCAACTCCACAGGCATCACCCTCTCCCTGTTCTCAGAGGACCCAGAGTTCAGCCAGGAATCAGAGGGAAGCCTGCAGAGGACAGAGTCCGGATCTGGAGGACAGGTGCTGTTGAAGTGAGTGACCGGAGAAAGAGCCCAGACTGCAGAAGCGGGTGGGAATGGGGGCTCTGGGAGGGGCAGAGACCCCCTGAAGTGCTGGCATGACCCACCGCACTGCTCCTAGTCCTCAGAGGATCCCTAGACTATGAGCAAGCCTGGCAGCCCTACCACTCCTCTCCCAGAGCCGTTTAGACTGATGCACCTGATCATTCATTCATGGACCATCCATTGAATGGCCTCTAGCTGCAGATGCTGTGCCGGTTCCTGGGGCAAAGCTAGCAGGGCCCTAACCCCGGGGGGAGCCCCCAGGATGGGGTTACCTGTCTGAGAGGCTTGCTTCTGCTCTGCGCTTGGAATTAACCAGATGTTGAGGAAACAGAGCCCAGCAGTCACATTTCCCTTTTCTCCTTCAACTGGTGGGGGAGCAGTGTCCAAGTCCTGGCCCTGGGGACGTCCTTGGCTTGCCTCAAAACCTTGGTGAGCCCGGAGCTCTGGCCAGGGCCTTCTCTTCCCTGTGGCACACTGTGCCTGGTGGCCACAGGCAGCTCCAAGCCTGAAAAGGCACCCGGAGCCAGCTCTCCATCTCCGGCCCCATCTGCTCTCTAGAACTCCAGAGCTGCATGCCCAGTTTCTCCTGGACATCTCCACTAGGGGGTCTGATACACCCCTCAAACCAAAAGCGCAACAACTGCCTCCCCGATGGCCCCTTCCTGGCAAACACGTCACCATCTGTCGGCACAGTGCTCAGGCCCACATCAGGGAGTCTGGGGCTGCTCCCTCCTCCTTCTCTCCCACTGTAGCCCTCTGCGAGTCCTTGTCAGCTCCGGAATCCCGTCTACCGCCACTTCTCCTGGCCTGGACTTGTGGCCTCTTTGCTGTACAACTCCAGTAGCCCCTACCTGCTCTCCGCCTTCACACTTGCCCACACAAGAGTCAAGGGTCGCTTTTTAAAACCTTGGTTAAATGGTGTCATTCTCCTACTGAAAACCCTGCAATGGTTTTTCCCTGCATTTGGAGTAGACTTCACACCCTGGCTGTGGCTGGCCTTCCTCTGTGGAATCCACCTTGTCTGCCTGTCTGACCTCATCTCATCCTGCCTCTTCCCCTTCTCATCACGTACGCCCGAGCCTCACGGCCTGCCCCTTCCTGTTCTGAAACACAGAGAGCTCTTCCTGCCCAGGGCGGCAGCACCAGCTGTTCCCCGCACCGGGACTACTCACCTCCAGCAGTGGCAGCCCTGGCTCCTTCTTGTCACTCAGCTCTCAGTTTAAAGCTCCTCTTCTCAGAAAGACCTTCCCCACCACTCCATTTTAAAGAACGCCTGGTCAGTCTCTGCTTCACCCACATGGGACAGGTCTCCTTTGTTTTCCTGGTCTGCTGTTCATAAGCTCCTGAGAGTAAGCACCTTGCTTGTCTTGCATACACACACCCCAGGGCCTAGAAAAGGCTGCCACATACTAGGCCATCAGGAAATATTGAATGAATGGGCCGGGCGCAGTGGCTCATACCTATAATCCCAGCACTTTGGGAGGACAAGGTGGATGGATCACTTAAGGTCAGGAGTTTGAGACCAGCCTAGCCAACTTGGTGAAACCCCATCTCTATTAAAAATACAAAAATTATCTGGGCATGGTGGCATGCACCTGTAATCCCGGCTACTTGGGAGGCTGAGGTAGGAGGATCGCTTGAGCCTGGAGGTCAAGGCTGCAATGAGCTGTGATTACACCGCTGCACTCAGCCTGGGCAAAAGAATGAGACTCCATCTCAAAAAAGAAAAATCAAATTGAATGAACGACTGTGTGGGCACTTAGTGGAATGTTATGGGAGGGGGCTTGCCTGCGCTATTCTCACCAAAAACTACCCAAGCCGAGCATCTGGCAGAAGTCCACTCGGCGGTTTTTTTTTTTTTTTTTTTTTGGGGGGGTTGGGTCTCACTCTGTTGCCCAGGCTGAGTGCAGTGGTAATCACAGCTAACTACAGCCTTGACCTCCAGGCTCAAGCGATCCTCCTGCCTCTGTCTCTTGAGTAGCTGGGACCACAGACAGTAGCCACCACATCAGCCTTCTACTTGGCCTTTCTTTCTGCAGACTGGTTGTCAGTTCCTGGCCCCAAATGTGTCAGAGGCATTGGTGCTGGCCCATCTGTGGCCTTTGAGATGGCCCCAGGGCACAGCCGGCCCTCACCTCCCTCCCAGCCCTCCCCTGCTTCTCACATCCACCCTTGTGTTTCAGAGCATCAGCAGGAGCTGGCACAGGACCCGGCTCCCCCTTGGCTGCCCCTTCGGACCAGAACAAGAAAAGGAGCAGCAGCATCGCCTCCACCTTGGGGCTGAAAAAGCTCTTCTCAGCCCTGAGCCAGAGTTCCCGGCCCAAGCTGGGCAAGTCCCGCAGCTACAGCGTGGAGCAGCTGCAGCCTGCTGCGCCCCACCTGGTGTCACACTCCAGGGCCCCATCATTACAATCCCTGCACTCGGTGAGTCCTGGGGCCCCAGCCCAGGGAGTGAAGCCAGAGGCAGCGCAGCCACCATCAGAATGAAAGGTTTCCATGGAAGGAGGGAGGAGGTGCTGAGGATGCCTCCCAAGGAGCCCATGGTAGAGAAAGGGAAGTTGCTGGCATCCCCACGGTTGACCCATGAGACTTGGGTTTGCCTGGACACAGGGTGGATGGGCAGCATCTCACATTGCTGTTCCCTGCCAGCTGCCCAGGCCTGGGCTCACTCTAGACTCCACCCTCTCCCTCAGCTTTGCCACCTCAGCCAAGTCCCAGAGAGTTGACAGCCTGGTGGTTCTGGAACCTTCTCCATGGCCAGAGTGACTCTGAGCCCAGGCACAGATCACTTCCCTCGTGGATTCCCTCAACAGCCCCTTGACTGGCCTCCTTGCCATGGTCCTGCATGTGGCTTCCGGAGTGGTCCTTCTGATATGCAAATCTGGCCATGCCACCCCCTTGCTGAACATGTGTCATTGGTTCCTTACCACCTTCAAGATAAAGTGCAGACCACTCAGCATGGCCAGAGGGTTTCTGGGATCTGTCTGCTTTCATCCCTCCTCATTCTTTTAACATGCTTGACCGCAGTTGCAGTTGACCGTCTTGCAGTTCTGTCGGCAGATCACTCAGTGTCTTGACTTTGAACCGTCAGCTGGGCTCTTTCTCCCACCTTCCCCACCTGGGACCGCCTGCTCCTCTGTCCCTACTGCAGGCACACACCCCTCAGGGAGCTGCTTCCAACCCTGCCTCAGGCCAAACTGGGCATCCCTCCTTTGTGGAACTTGAGGCATCATGTTGAGTTGAGTTTTGTCTCTCAGCCCTCACTGGAGTGTGAGTTGTTGGAGGGAACACCGCAGTGAGTGGGTAGGAAGTGCAGGGCAGCCGGCTCAGGTGCTCCTTCCCAGCACACTGGACACCCTTCTGTTCCAGGAAGTTCCCGCTAGTCTGTTTCTCCTAATTCTCTGGAGGGAAGCAGATGAGAATGGTTTGGGTCGCTGGCGCCTTTCATTTCCAAGGCTGCAGGCGGGAAGAGGATGTGGACTGAATGAAGGTCCCATTGACCGTCTTCCACCAAAGACACTTCGAGGCACGTGGCCGGTGCTCAACAAATATTTGCAGGTTGAATGAATAGAAGGCAAAGAAACAGTGGCAGAGATTGAAGCTCGGGGGAATCAGCAGTGGTGACTTGTGCTCCAGGAACTCACTGTTCTCATGAAGTTAGATTTGTCCAAAACATATCTGAGCCATGGCATCCAGACTTACTGTCCTCAGGACTTCTATCTCTGTAAACCCCTCAAGGGAAAAACCACCCCGGTCAATGTCATAGAGAGCCTGGAACCTTCTCCATGGCCCAAGTGACTCTGAACCCAGGCACAGATCGCTTCCCACATGGATTCCCTCAACAGCCCCTTGATAGGCAATCTGAGCTGAGTGGACAGAGATAGGAAATAGACTGGGCAAGAAGGAGTAGGAGGCAGAGCAGGGAGGATGAGCAGCAGAGAGACATTTTCAAAAAATTAAAGACGACAGACATTTTCAAGAAAATAAAAAAGAAGATAAAGGAAGGATCTGTCTCGCCCCACAGTATTTGTGACAGTCTTCAGGTTAAAATACTTGCTGTTGGTGTGTGGTGCTGCCAAGAGGGTGTTTGCTGGGAGGCTTAGTGGTTTTTGTTTTTTTGTTAAGATGGAGTCCCGCTCTGTTGCCCAGGCTGGAGTGCAGTGGTGCAATCTCTGCTCACTGCAACCTCGACCTCCCAGGTTCGAGCAATTTTCCTGCCTCAGACTCCTGAGGTTACAGGTGCTGAGATTACAGGTGCACGCCACCACACCCAGCTAATTTTTGTATTTTTAGTAGAGAGGGGGTTTCACCATGTTGGATAGGCTGGTCTCAAACTCCTGACCTCAGGTGATCCACCTGCCTTGGCCTCCCAAAGTGCTGGGATTACAGGCAAGAGCCACTGTGCCCAGCCATATATATACCACATTTTCTTTATCCACTTGTTGGTTGATGGGCACTTAGGCTGGTTCCATATCTTTGCAATTGCAAATTGTGCTGCTTTATACATGTGCACACACCCTGCAGCACAATTTGCAATTGCAAAGATATGGAACCAAACTTTTTCTTTATAATGACTTCTTTTCCTTTGGTAGATACTCAGTCGTGGGACTGTAGGTTTGAATGGTAGATCTTTTTTTTTTTTTTAGACAGGTCTTGCTCTGTCACTCAGGCTGGAGTGCAGCAGGTGATCTCGGCTCACTGCAACCTCTGCCTCCTGGGTTCCAGCGATTCTCCTGCTTCAGCCTCCTGAGTAGCTAGGATTATAGGCACCAGCCACCACGCCTGGCTAATTTTTGTATTTTTGGTAGAGATGGGGTTTTGCCATGTTGGCTGGGCTGGTCTCAAACTCCTGACCCCAGGTGATCCACCTGCCTTGGTCTCCCAAAGTGCTGGGACTATAGGTGTGAAACACCGTGACCAGCTGGGGGTTTGCTTTTATTTTGTCCTGCCGTGGCTCCTGCCCACCCTGGCTGCTCCCAAGTTCTCTAGTGGGCTGGGGCCCTTCCCCGTGAGCCTTGGAGCCTGCATCTAGAAGGTTCTCCTTCCTTCTTATCCCCCTTCTCCCCCAGGAAACTCCTGCCTATCCTTTAGGGCAGAGTTCAACATGACTTCTCCCAGGAAGCCTTCTTGAACTCAGGTTTGAGGTCAGGCCCCCTCTGAAGCTTCTTGATTCCACGCCTGCCTTCTTTAGAGCACTCCTTAGTCTATTCAGGCTGGTATAACGAAATCCCCAAAGCTGGTAGCTTTCAGGCAACAGAGATTTATTTCTCACAGTTCTCTGGTGGCTGGAAGTCCAAGATCAAGTCTCTGGCAGATTTGGTGTCTGGTGAGGCCCAGCTTCTTCATAGGTGGCTTTCTTTTCACTGCAACCTCATGTAGTGAGGGCACTAATCCCATTCCTGAGCACTCTGCCCAAATGACCTAATCACCCTCAAAAGCCCCACCCTTGGTGATTAGGTTTTAACCTGTGACTCTGTGGAGGGATACAGACATTCAGACCACAGCAGCAAGGATTCCAAATGTAACCAATAATGTGGGTGATATTTGTTTCAAAGACTGCTTTTCCCTGCCTCAGCCTCCCTGGCCCCTTCATTTCTCAGACTGCAGGAGGGAAGAGGATGCAGGATGAATGGAAGCCCCACTGACTGTCTCCCCGACCTTCAGAATTGCTTCCTCATCGGGTCATTTTCTAGAACACAGTTCTGATCTTGTCACTTGTATTAGCATCACTCAGCAGCTCCTTACAGGGCACATCAGGACCTTCCAGGTCTGGTCCGTGGCTCCAGGCCACAACTTGTACCGCCTGCCACTCAGACCATGCATATGCTCCAGAATGACTGCGCTTTCTCACATCTCTCCATGCCTTAGATAAAACATTTTCCTCTGCTGGGTACAATCCTACCTTTCTCCTCGTCTAGAGAGCTCTTGCTTCGAGTGTCAGCACCTTCAGTGTCCCAAACCCCCCGAGCCAGAGTCCCTCTCCGCCACACGACACATCATCTGTCTTTCTCTCTCTCTCTCTTTTTTTTTTTGAGATGAGTGTGGCTCTGTCGCCCAAGCTGGAGTGCAGTGATGCGATCTCAGCTCATGCAACCTCTGCCTTCCAGGCTCAAGTCTCTCTCCTGCCTCAGCTTCCCAAGTAACTGGGATTACAGTCGCCCGCCACCACGCCTGGCTAATTTTTGTAATTTTAGTGGAGACGAGGTTTCACCATGTTGGCTAGGCTGGTCTCAAACTCCTGATCTCAGGTGATCCAACCGCCTCAGCCTCCCAGAGTGCTGGGATTACAGGTGTGAGCCACTGCGCCCGGTACACACTATCGCCTTTTAATGTGTACAGGAGCCTTTTAACTTACCTGTGCTCAGACCTGCCCCCATCACTTTGTGAACGCCTTGAAGGATCTCTTGTCTATCTTTTTATCCACAATATTTTAAGGTACAAAATTCAATTTACATTTTCGAATGAAAGTGATCATAAAAGACATAATAAAGAATCACAAAACAGCATCTAGAATTTTAACTCTAAAGTGGTATTACTCTATAACAAACTGACTCTCATTTCTTCCTTAATGAGTACATTAGATTTTCTTAATCGATGAGGTGATTAGTATAGCACTACAGTTGTTATTTCAGCTAGAAAACAAAACGAAAAATCCCTTGACTCCCCAGATGGCCTATGTAGACCCATCTCCTTGAGTAAAGTCATGGTGGCTCCCGTGGAATTCCTGGAAGCAATGATAAAAGCTTGTGCTGTCACTTTCTTACAGGGCCTTCAGGTTCATGGTGGGGGCCAAGTCCTCTGTCATCGCCCACCCTGGTGGCTTTTCTCACCTGCAATACTGGCCCTTTCCCATCAGGTGTCACCCTGTCACCAGCGTCGGAAAGCTGCCTCTTTCCAGAACCTCCATTCTCTGCTGAGCGGCAAGGGGGACCGGTCCAGCCTCTACCTGGTAGCGGGGCCAGGGGACCACAGTGCAGCTGGCAGGTAAGAGTGGGCACACATGGTTTGGAGGACAAACTCATTAGAGAATGGCCAGTGGAGCCAAAAGCTTCACTCCTCCCTGCCTTGGCGTCATGGCTCTGAGCAGTGTCCCTTGAGAAAGCAAGGCCTCCCTCCAGCACATCTGATATGTGGAGACAAGGCTGCCACCAGAGTCTCAGCACCTCAGTGCCCTGCAACGACCCTCAGTGCACTGTGCTCTGAGAAGGCCTGCTGGATCAGGTGGAGTTGGCTGGTTTGATTCCACTGTCCCTCTGATGTCCAACAACATCTTGAAATCAGAACGTTTAGAGAGTGTTCTTAGCCCAGCTAAAGATCCAAATAAACACGTAGAGACAGAGACCCCCAAAGAGGCATGTGACCCGTGACTTGCTTGGATAAAGCCCACCCTGTCTGGTGAGGCCCTGCAGGCGGGCTGCTCTTCCCTAGGGCTTCATGGACGCCCTTCAGGGTGTATGTCAGATCCTGGAAATGTGACATAAAATTATGCCTTTTCTCAGATTCATACAGAGGTCTCTGTATCTCCCCAAATTTGAAACCACTGCTTTGGGAGGGTGGGCTTTCTAATTCCAAGCAGGCCCTGCACAGCGGTGGAAACCCACCAGTTCTGGCCCTAGCAGGCTCTTTTTGCTGGTTGAGGTCAGCGGAACCCCAGTCTCCTATGCCAGACTCTTAATTAAGTCTGTGAGGTATCAGTCATCTGTAAGCCAGAGAAGAGCTGCGCCCAGTGCCCCCTGCCTTTTGCCCTCACTGTACCTCTGGTTCCCTCACAGGCCGGCCAGGGCTTCACCACGGCGTGCCCTCAGTGTGGAGGATGTGGGTGCTCCCAGCCTGGCTCGCACGGTGGGCCGCCTGGTGGAGGTGTTCCCAGATGGCACCAGCCAGCTACAGCTGCAGCGCTCCCCGGGGGGCACTTTCGGCTTCTGCGTGGCCTCTGGGAATGGGCGCCCGGACTCAGGTATGCCCTCTCCCCTTCCTCAGCCCCATGGCCGGGGGCGGCCTTAGCAAACCACAGCAGAGCCTTCTGGCTGTGGTCAGAGGCTTTTCTGGTCCTTGGCTAAGCGGGGGAGCTCCGGGAATTCAGAAAGCCTCTGACCACAGGACTAGGCTTCTCCGCCCAGAGGCTCTTTCTGCATTGTCTGGGGCTGCCCAGGAGTCTGTGCCTGCAGAGCCTTTGCCCTGGGCAACTGCAGCTGAGGAAGAAGCTGCGGCTGGTGGGGAGTGTGCAGGACAAGGAAGCGTTTGCAGGTTTGACTCCACTGTCCCCCTGCTGTCTGATGACATCTTGAAATTAGAATCTTAGGCCGCGAGAGGTGGCTCACACCTGTAATCCCAGCACTTTTGGAGGCTGGGGCGGGCAGATCACCTGAGGTCAGGAGTTTGAGACCAGCCTGGCCAACATGGTGAAACCCTGTCTCTACTAAAAGTACAAAATTAGCCAGGCGTGGTGGTGCATGCCTGCAATCCCAGCTACTGTGGAGGCTGAGGCAGGAGACTCACTCGAATCCAGGAGGTGGAGGCTGCAGTGAGCCGAGATCACACCATTGCACTCTAGCCTGTGCAATAAGAGCAAAACACTGCCTCAAACAAACAAAAGAAAGAAAGAAATTAGAATCTTGAAGGCCATCTTTGCAGAGAAGAGCCAGAGAGAAACTGTCTGTGCCTGCCGTTCTCAGCAGTCCCTTTGATGTGGCTGCTGTGTTGAAATAATTCCTTTCCTCCGGCTGCGGAGTGTGTCTGGGCACATACTGCCTGTCTGTCTCTGCACCCCGTTCCTCCCTCAGGCCTGTGCCCGAGGATTCTGTTCAGATGAATCCTGGCTGCAGGCCTCTGGCTGGGGTGTGCTCTGGGTCTCGATTCAACCCAGGCAAGGGCAGGGAGGAGTCCTGGAGATCATTTTGCACTCTGGCCAGTTCTCAGTTCCGCCCCATCCATGAGTCTTTCAGGGCAATGTGGCGTGCCAAGGCCCACCTTCAAGGTCTGTGGTCCAGAATGCATCTCAGGGCAAGGGCCCATGAAAGACTCCCCAGAGGAGAAGGGAAGGAAGACAAGTATGCAGGGATGGGGAAGAAGAGGAGGGGAAGGAAGGAGAGAGAAAGGGAGAGACAGATACGGAAAGGCACGTGCAGAAGCCTGCTACAGCTGGGCTCTGCTGATGGGGGGTTGAGTCCCAGGCTTTGATCTCCTAGGTCAATGCTGTTTAGCCTGGAAAAAAATCTGCCTGCTGCCACATTTGCAGACTGCAGCATGAGTTCTCATGTCTCTTCCATCATGCATTGTTTCAGCAAATATATACTAAGCACCTACTATTTGTTATAGATATGGGGTATACAGCAGTAAATGCAACAGACCCAACTTCCTGTCCTCATGGATATACTACCCAGTGAACAGCTAGACCGTATCTATAAAACGTGTACTTTCGTTATGTGTAATGTGCTACATATGTCAGATGGTGAAAATAAAGTTCTGAGAAACATACAGATAAAGCAGGTGTGGCAGATGCTGGTGCAGACAGGAGTGTGGGGAGGCTTTTCTGAGAAGATGATACTTGAGCAGGGGCGTGGATGGGGCGAGGGAGGAGCCCATGGGTGTCTGGGGGAAGAGTATTCCAGCAGGTGGAACAGCAAGTGTGAAGCCCTGGTGGAGGGGTGGCTTGGCCTGTGAGGACTGCAAGGAGGCCAGGCTGGACAGTGCAGAGAGGGCGAGGGGTCGGGAGGAGCAGAGCTTGGAAAGACAAGGCTGTGCCACTGTAAGGGGCTTTGGCTTTCTGCCAAGTGAAATGGGAGCCACTAGAGGCTTGGAGCGGAGCACTGAGACCCTCTGATGTACACTTTTAGCAGGGTGAGAATATACCCCAGTGGGACATAGGTGGAGCCAGGGAGCCCCACGTGAAAGCTATTCAGCAGTCCAGGACAGAGATGGTGGTGCCTGAGCTGGGAATGGCTGTGGAGATGGGGAGAGAGGTGAGGAGCTGGACTCTGGTTGATTTGACTATTTGCTGATGAGCTGGACATGCATGTGAGGGGAAGAGGACAGGTCTCTCCCCACTCTGGAGCTCAGGAAGGTAAAACGTCTGTCCTCACGGGCCTTCCCGTAGCCTCCTCTCCTGTTAGGCGAGCAGGACAGGCCCCTGGGCAGGCGGCATAGAGGCAGAGGTGGCCAATGCAGCATGTTTGTGCTCCAGCACCTCTGCTGGCTGTGTGACCTTGAGCAGGCGATATCCCAGCTGAGCCTCAGTTCCTTAATCTGTGAAATGAGGATGACAAACCTACCTAGAAGAGTCATAAGGAGCATTCAAGAAGGCACACAGGAGAAAAGGCCTAGCATTTTCTCTCCTTCCCTTCAGAAAGAAAAAGTCTGTTTGGGGAAGAGAAGCGCAGACAGGGCCCAGGGTGATCCGCACTCACCTGTCATTGTGAGTGCACAACAGGGCTTATACCCGGCCCCCAACTCGCCCCAGAGTCCCTGTTGGCTCCCTTGTAGGCAGTGGGAGCCCCTCCCTGTCACCTGTTAAGGAGGTCTGCTGGGCAGGGGTCTCTAGTGACCCAGGGTCCCTGGCCCCCTCGCTGGGTTGGTGCCAGCTTTCCCTGTCCTGCCCAGGCACTCCCTGCTCCTGCTGTCGTCGTATTAGCTTGCTGGCGTTCATATCTGACTCTATATGAGCCTGTGAGAACAGCAGGCTTTGCCTTCTGCTTCTAATTGGATACAACATAAAGATCACACATCCTCAACAAAGGCCATTTCCAGCAGACAATAAATGCCTACGACAGCAGGCTCTCTGTCATATTTGTGTCGTGACTTTCAGGTTGTGAAATCTACCCATCTCCCCAAAATGGCAGGAGTGACGTCAGTGCCTGGCCTGGCTCTGGCTGCATTCTTTCAGGGTTTATCATTATTCCCCACCTGCAACAACTGCTGCACATCAGACACTTCTCTGGGTTTACCCCAGGCGCCCCTTCTTACCTGCCCCTCCCCGCGCCACCAACTCGTAAACAGGGAGGACAAGCAGTAAAAGCTCCAGCTAGAGGAGGTAAAAGACAAGGCTGACGAAAACGCCCTGTGCAGCCAGGATGGCAGACGTACTGTCAGGGGAGACAGCCCAGCAGAAAAGGCTCAGCTTGGCCAAGAAGCAACAAAAGGGATTCCACACCTCAGCCCGGGGAGGGGGAATGTACACCAAGATTAGATTTGCTAAATTCAGAGCCCCAAACCTTCAGGTACCTCAGTGAAGGAGGAGGTATCAGTGCTTTTCCAAACCCACATTTCAGAGGCAGGCTTTAAAATGCCTGACTTCTGTCAGGGCCAGAGGCTGGGCTGCCCAAAGCCCCTCCAGGGCTGGGGGGACCCGAGAGACGGCTTTCCACCAGTCCAAGATGCGGTGAGCAGTGTCAAGCCAGAGACTGAGGTACAGACCTGCCGCCCTTTTGGGCCCCTGCTGAGAACCTGATTCGAGAAGGAAGTGGAGACGGTAACGTGTGGGCAGTGGCCTCATGCTTTTGAAATGCAGAGTGAGCCGAGCTGGGCTGGGAACAGCGAGGGTGCCAAGGCTGCACTGAGCGGCCTGGTGAATTCTGCCAGTGCTGGCGGCCGCGCCAGGTGCGTGCCCTGCAGTCCTCCAGCAAACTTGGCTTGTGTCTCAGCCTGTGTGTGCACCCGGCACAGAGCATGGGCATCAGGGGCTCCAGCCTGCGCTGGGAGAGCTGGCACCTCACTTTCCCTCCCAGGTGGGAGCAGCTGGAGGGGAATTTGAAAATGTTTCCAGCTGTGGTTGAGGCCAGGGGAGGCCTCCTCAGCTGGATGCTTCCCAGAGAGGCCAGGGGAGCTAACCCAGCCAGCCCGAGCCCCCCAGGGCCTGCCCACTGACGGGGCTCCCTGAGAGCCGGAGCCTGGGAAAGCAGCAGAGAAGCTGGTTCCCCAAGGCTGGCTCTTGGCACTTCCTAGACCCAGGCAGGGCCTCTTTGGGGTGGGCAGGAGGGGCATGTGCAGAAGAGGGGTGGTGCTTGGGCTGGGAATGGCTGTGGATATGGGAGAGGGGAGAGCGGTTGGATTCTGGTTGATTTGTTTGCTGATGAGCTGGACGTGCGTGTGAGGGGAAGAGGACAGGTCTCTCCCCACTCTGGAGCTCAGGAAGGCAAAACGTCTGTCCTCACAGGCCTTCCCGTAGCCTCCTCTCCTGTTAGGCGAGCAGGACAGGGCCCCCTCGACAGGCAGTGTGGAGGCAGAGGCCTCCACTGGAGGTGGGGCCACCGGAGCTTTAAAATACATGGCTAGAATTTTTTGCTCAGATGCTTCCCCATCCCAACTGAGGAACCATGTCTGAGTAAGACTGAGGCCAGGGTCAGTCCTTGGCAACAGAGCGCAGCAGACCAGGCTTGGATGTAGCTCAGCCACTTTCGCTCTTCTGACAATACCCTCCCACCACCCCGGCCTTCACGCTGGGCCTGGGCGACCTGAGGGCAGCAACTGGATCACAGTGCCAGGCACCGAGTAGGTATGGTTCTTAATTCTTAAAAAGTATTTTCCTCCCTATTCTATAAGAAAAGCTCATCTCAGAAAAAGATCAGCTCACTCACAGTCAGGTATAAATGAGTAACAGCAGCTTAACATTATTTGCACTAGGAGCATTTCCACGTTAAAAGCGGAGACAGAGGAATGGAGTTAGACATGGAGGAGGCGCAGTGTATCTGTGCCTAAAGCCAGTTGTAGTTGTGAAGTACCCTGTAATGAGCACCACTTCCCTGTGCCACACAAACAGCCCCTCACTGATATGATCAGCACTCCAGAGACGCACAGCTTCAGTTTGGGTGTCAGTGTGAAATTCTCCCATTTTCCTTTGCAGGGATCTACGTGCAAGAGATGGCCGACATGAGCACGGCCAAGCTGTACTCGGGGCTGCTGGGGGTGGGCGACGAGATCCTGGAGGTGAACGGGGCCAAGGTGGCGGGGCTGGGCTTGGCTCACATTAAGGAGCTGCTGGCCCACTCAGAGAGCTTGTCAATCCGTGTCCTGAGGCAGAGACCTGTACCACGGTAACCCAGAAGTGCCACTGCCCTCACTGCCACCGCCTCAGAAGCCCTGAGCCACTAAGGGTGGTTGGCCGGGAACGTGCTGCCGAGCTGCCCTGTGCTGGAAACACGGATCCTGCTGGCGTCAACCCCTTGCGCTGTGGCAGGGCTTCTGTGATGCACTGCCTTCGGGAGAGGCAAGGAGCCTGGTTGCCTATGTGTTTTAAGGCCATTCGTGCAGAACTAGAGAAAAAAAAAATGGGTCTCCTTCCATGTCTAAGAGGGTGTCAACATCGACTTGTACCTTTGTTGGCAAGGCGGGGAGGGAGATTCAGTGGACCCTTTGGTTGATGCCTGAGAGGCCCACCTCCTGGTCCCACTCCCCATCAAAGGCTACCCCAGCCTCCAACACTGTGGAACCAAAGAAAGCTCATGTCCATATTGGCCTTGACCCTTCCCCTTTTCATCTGTGTTCCTCCCTATTCCCATTCACTGCCTTTGCCCTTTATCCAGAAATGGGCAGTGTCCTGGAGTACCAGCCTTATAGCCATTGACAACATATGCCCAACTAAAATCAGAACGTGTGGTCTGACAGTTTTATGCCCTTTCTGGGTATGGGAACACCTGGGAGATGTTATCTGGTAGCCAGAATATTAACCATTTCTAAGAAATTTTTTTTTTTGATATAAAGTTGGAAAAAAAAATGAAGACCAATTTCAGGACATGCTACTGTAGTAGCCAGGATCCAGCCAGTAGGACCGGCCAGACCAGCCCCAAGCTGCCCACCTGCTGCCTCTGCCCAGATGGAGGCAGGAGTTGCTGCAGCCGGCCCTGTGCAGCCTCGTCTTAGTTCTCCTGTCCAGCTTGGAGACAGGGCTGCGGCGGTGCCTGGCCATCACACAGCTGCACACTTTCTGCCCAGACCTCCTGGCAGTGCTGTCAGTGGGCAGGTGAGTGGCTGTGGAGAGCGTGGATGGGCCATCTGCCTGGGCCTCAGCACTGCCTGGACGGCTCCTCTTCGGGAGTGGATGGCCATGTGTCAGTCTTAACTTATTAAAAAGCAAGGCTGAAGTTTCTCCCACTCTGAGTTGCTAAATTCTGGGCTGGATACTCACCTGACCTTCACTAGCCATGGGCAGGACCGGGGAGTGGGGGAGGGCATGGGCGCTGGTGGTGGGCATGCCAGAGGAAAGGCCGGGAGGCCCTGAGTTAGGGTGACGGTAGGGTAGATGCAGAAGCCTCCAGACCGTCCTTTAGAGGAAGAGAAGCCTTGGGCAAGTTTTTTCATCAGGAGAGAAGCAGCCAAGGGGCCTTGGCTGGGCACAACTGAGGAGCAGAACAGGAAGTCCAGAGCTGTTTTAGAACTTGCCAGGGTGCCAGCTGTGGTTAGGAAAACAAATCCTGGAAACAAGAAACCCAGCCTCCAGCAGAATTGGGTTTACCTGAGTGTCAGGGCAGCTTTCATCAGGCAAGGGCACTGAAGCAGGCCTGTGGCCCAGGAAGACGGTGGTGGGGGTGGGGAGGCAGTCCTGTGCAGGGTTTGGGATGTGTTCCCCTGCCCAGGGCCTTCGCAGCAGGAGCCAGGTAGAACCCTGTCTTCACGATGCCCATGCGGGGAGAGGGAGGGCCTGAGCCCCATGGCTCACAGAATGGGGTATGGGTGTGAAGGAGGAATGCGGGGGCTCTGGCAGGTGAGCAGAGGCGCCAGAAAAACAAGTGCTTGGGGCTTCAGGCTGTGAGAGAGCACCTGCACACCCCAAAGTATAGAAATGACCCCACAGCAAGAAACTACAAGTGTGGGGAAACCCTGGCTCCTCCTGTACCGCAATTCCTAGCCCTAAGATCACAAAAATGGAGACATTTCATGTTGAGAAAAGCTCTGGGGGCCAAAGACAGCTCTGTTTTTCTCTGTATGGCCAGGACAACTTGCCTTCCCAACTGGGAGGAGGTGGAAGGGGTGCACTGGGGCTGGGAGGACGATGTGCAAAGGCCTCAGGCATATCACCCCCGGGCTGGCGACATACTTAGTTCTTAAATAAGTCCTGCCAGGTGTGTGCTGCTCATTGTCTTCGGTTTACATAGATGGGGAACAAAGTTCAGCAGCAGTGATAGGGCATCCAATCCTGCCCCTCTGACTTGGGGTCCACGTTTCCCACTGCAGCTGCCTCCCCAAACCAGAAAAGGCTTGGTGCTAGGGGAAGGGTACGAGGCCTCTGGATGGTGACCTAATTCCAAGGAGGCAAAGGCGCTGGCATCCCAGCGCCTCCCTGGGGCAGCCCAATGTGTAGGCCCTGCCTTGTGTGGATGGGAGGGGGCTTTGGTTCCTCCAGCCTCCTGTCTGACCTTCCCCATCTGCCCGCATCTGCCTGCCTGGGGAGCTGCTAACCTTGAAGGCCTGGGGCAGCCCTGCCTCACACGTTGGACCATCAGAATCTTTTTTTTTTTGAGACAGGGACTTGCTCTGTTGCCCAGGCTGGGGTGCAGTGGTACAATCTTGGCTCACTGCAACCTCTGCCTCCTCCACCTCCCAGGTTCAAGTGATTCTCCTGCCCCAGCCTCCTGATTAACTGGGACTACAGGCACCCGCCACCATGCCTGGCTAATTTTTAGTAGAGACAAGGTTTCACCAAGTTGGCCAGGCTGGTCTCAAACTCCTGACCTCATGTGATCTGCCTGCCCCGGCCTCCCAAAGTGCTAGGATTACAGGCCTGAGCCACGGCACCTGGCCCATCAGAACCTTCTTGCTGCGAACGTATTAACCAGGAGCCAGGCCTAGCACCAGGCAAGAGCTCCCGCATTTAAGAAAGACCCGCAGCCTCAGGGGGTTCCAGCCTAGAGGGAGGTACACGCGCAATACAGCGCCGGAGGCCGGATGTGCTGCAAGAGGAGCTACAGTCCAGTCCACCGTGCGTGTGGACAGCCTGGGGCCGTGATTCGTGGTTGGCCGGGTAGCTGGCAAGGGCGCAGACCAGGCGGGTGAGCCCAAGCAGGACTTTCTAAAACGAATAGGAAGCTACAGCAAGGGCCAAGTGGCTCAGGCACAGAAAAGAAACAGCCACGTGCAAAGGTGTGGGGTTTCTGGTGTCTAATGTACATCCATCCCGCGGTTCACAGAAGGCCCTGACACTGGGACTACATGGAGCAGAAAGTGGCACCATCTTTGCCTCAGGTACCTCAATCTCCGTGGGGGTTGGGGGCACTTTCAGAAGTCACTCGGACTCCCCCCACCACTCCCGCCCCGTCGCTGCGGGGTGCCGCGGAGGTACCCGGTATTCTGCGAGGGGTGAGGCCTGAGGTCTGTCGCGTGCCCTACAAGCAGGAGACTGACTGTGCCCTCCGCAGCCGCCCCGCGCTCTCCCCGCCCTCAGGCCATCGAGGCAACCTCACAGCGACGCCGGTGCTCGCAAGTCTTCCCGGCCGGGCGGGCGGTCCCTGCGGACCGGGCATGCAGCGGGCAGCCGCTCGCTCTGCACCGGCAGGCTCCGCGCCAGCCGCGCCTTCCCGGCCAAGCGGCCGCCTGCAGAGAGTGTTCCCGTCACGCCGGCAGGAGGCGCGGGGCCAGGCAGCTCGGCCTTTGTCCTCTTCCTCCCGCGGGGCCTGGCGCGGGCGGAGGTGAGAGGCGCCGGGTTTGTTGCCCTGCCTGAGGGTCGCCAGGGCCTTCCTGCCAAGGCCGCATCCGCGAGGCAGGGTGTGTCCAGCAGGGCACCGGCTGTTAGAGCCGCGGGGGCCTGCAGCCTGAGTGGACAGAGGGCGGGCTCACCGGGTTTGCACATCCCCGCCCCAAGCGCGCGCGCGCGCGCGCGCGCGCACACACACACACACACACACACACACACACACTGCTGGACTCACACCGTTCTTCAGGAACGCGGCTGGGGATGGGGACAGGAACCGACTGGAGGACCGCATGATGGTCCCCGGCCTCGCTGAAAGGTGCTGTGGAGGCAGCGCGAGAGCCAGACTGGCAGGACGAACTGGAGCTGGGGCTGGCTGGAGGGATGGGGAGGAAGTGGGGTGAGCTAGGGACCCTCGGGTCCGTGGGGCGGGGGCGGGGTGTGCAGGAATGAGTGCCTGGTGCATGCCGTGTCAAGCGTGCTGGAGAGACCGCAGGCCGGCTGGAATTTTGGAAACCAGTGTTAACCAGGACTTCAGGGACCTGCCCTGGTTGCCGTCCCTTGCCTTGCCTTGCCCTCCTGCCAGCACGGCAAATGTTCCAGAGCTCTGTAGGGGGTCATTAAATCACCCTGAGTCCATACAGCAGCACTGCGAGGGAGAGACTATTATGCCCGACTTAGGCACGAGGAGTCCGAGGCTCAAAGGTTAATTCACAGATCCAAGGTCTGACAGCCAGTCAGCAGAGGAGGCAGGATTTGAACCTGACCCTCTGCGACTTCCAGCCCACATCCTTCCACCCTCCTGGGTCCCACTGCAGCTCACCTTGCTTGGAGCCCCTCGAGCCCCGGCTCCCTGGCCTGCACAGCCTACGGGGCAGAGTGGCACCCTCGAGCAGCTCTGGAGGCCCTGCTGGGCCTGCCCGCCACTGACCCTCACCAGGATGCAAGGCCTTCATCTCGGTTTTCCTTCTGGGAACTAGGGCTGGAGAAGGGCAGGCCCATCCCTTTCCAGGGCAGTGTTTCCGAACTGCAGGCAAAATTCACTCATGGTATAAAAGCAATTCCGCGGATTGAGACCATCATTAAAAAAAAAAAAAGGACAGGATAGAAAATAAAAATTAGAGTGCCTTACACAAGCCAAGGGTAGGTTAGGTTTTGAGAAATGCTTCTCCTGCATGTGTGTACCGAGTTGTAATTTAAAATGGGTCATGGCTGTGCTCTGCGGAAGGCAGACACCGTAGAGCCATGGCCCCGCCTCTGGGGTAGGGCGAAGAGGCCTCCATCCTCGATAGGTGCCCTGGGCAGCTGTTTGTTTTCACTCTTTGCTGGGGGTGCCAAGAAGAGGCCTGTGACCCAGGAGAGGAGGGCAGTGGTGTGACTGTGGACTTCTTAGTCCTCCAAACTGCCTCTGGGCACGGGATTCCCGTGCGGGTGTTACTGGCAGGAGCTTTGGTTTTACTCCTGGATCCCACCAGCCCCAACTCCACCCATCCATCCGCCCCCTACTCTCTCATGCTTATTCATGCCTTGGCTGGAATGCCCTTTCCCTGTCCACGCATAGACCCCATGGCAGCCTTCAAAAATATTAGAGGTATCTGTCTCTGGAAGCATTCCCAATACTGCATGCTGACTTCAGCTTCTCCCCTTAGATCCCACAGGATCTTGTACCAAGAGCTCTTTACTGTGATTCTTCAGGTAGAATTGCTTTATCCTTCACCAAACTTCACTGACAAGAAGTAGACTTCCCTAGTCCCTCTGCCCAACCCATTTCCCACCCCAGTCCGCAGGCCAGTTCTGGAGCTACTCAAAAGGTGCTGCTGCCACCTGCATAAACAGCCCTTCCCTCTCTCCCTGCCTCCACATATCCGCAGAGAAGCTTCCCTCTTTCCTATGGAGCCAGAGCACCTGCTTAGAAATGGCAAGAGCCTTCCTTGGCAGGAAGCTCTGCCCAGCACTCCCTGGCTGTGGGTTTGGCCAGGTTGGAGTGCTGGACCCCAAAGGCAGGGGCTCCGAGGACTGGCACTGACAATGTGCCCATGGAGCCAGGGCTTAACAGCTGCCCTGCCAGTCCTGGAGGGCATCCGGAGCTCTCCTGTGGCTGCCAGGCTGCCTGCCGGGTCTGCCTTTGTCATGTCCTTCTGCAGTCTGGGCTCAGGCCCCTACTCACAGTGTGGAGCTGCCCTTAGGGTTCTGGTCCGGTGCCAGGCACTGGGGAGAGGCCTGCCCTGCCCTTAGGAAACCCACATCCCCAGGATGGATTCAGCTTCAATTGTGAAAAAAGAGCAGAGTGTCAAGGGCTACAATGGAAGCCCAAAGGCAGGAGGCCCCACTCTACCTGAGGGGCAGAAAGGTTCCTGGGAAAGCCAGCTCTAGGAGCCTATGGCCCCCAAGACCACAAGCTCACTAGCCTCTATTCAGCTCTGGTGTTAACTCAGGAACAAGGGGTGCTGGCAGTCAATGGG